CAGCCAAGTGCTGTACCGTATTTACCAACCTGTGGGTACATAAACAATTGCTCATGGGTTTGGGCCTGGCCCAGCCCTTCTGTCCCTTTTCCTTCTCAACATGCTTTACACTCATAATAGATTTTCCTTTTGATCTTGGACACCTTACTTGGAAGAACACAAAGTTTCAGGCTCCCAGGGAGACCTCAACAGGAGCTTATTCAGATATCTCAAATCTCTGTAACTTTGGGTATGTGCAGAAGTGCCTTTATGCTAGGGGAACTTGAAAGTGAGACCCTGGAAAAGACTCACATGCCTTTGAAGACGACAGTTTGGTGACAGATGGGCAGAACTTTCTAGGAAAGGGATTTTGGTCTGAGGGATGACCAGTGACAAAGATGTTGAAGTAATTTCAAAGTTTCTGGTTACTCCAGTGAAAACAGCTGTTGCTCAGTCACCAGGCAATATAATCAGGCATTTGTATGCCCCTGTGCCCTTTCAGGGAGGAGACTGAGCAGGTGTAGCTGTGAGGTGTCAAAGTGTAGCTGTTGAGATGGCACATCACTCCCTCTGTTCTTGTTTTCTGGTCCTAGGAAATATGGCACCAGTTCCAAGAGCAGGCACGTGTTGGCTGTACTGGGGACCAGTGCTCCCTCTACATTATTCTCATGAGCTACACCTTCTGATGGGATTCTGCATCTTGTTCTGGGAATCATTAACTCAGAATTTTGAATAATCTGTATAGTAAACAAGTGCTCAAGTGTTTTCAGACCTGCACTGTTTCTTGCTCATTTTCTCTTCCTTGTTCTTGCTGATGAGTGCTTTAGTTCCCACGTTAAAAGAGGAGTGGTGCCAGCAAGAGGCTGTGTGGCTTTGGGGAGCTCCCCAGAGGTGGGCAGGCTGTTAAGGGTTTCGCAGCTGTGAGGTTGGGAGTGTAGCAGGAACGTGCCAGCCATTGGACAGACACCCCAGCTTTGGGATGCACAACTTAATGTGCAGTTCCATTTGTGTCTCCATCGCTGTTCCCTCCCTGCACACCCCCCAGATATAAAGGTGTTTCCTAATTCTGTACAGGATCAGCAGATGTACTCTACCTGCTGTGAAATGTAATCACTACTGAAAAGGAAATACCACTGTAATACAACAACAAGATGTCAGTGACTTCTCCTCCACTTTGTGGGGGTACCCGTGTAGTTCTGTCTAGTACAGCATAGTGCTGGACACTGCTGCCTTCCTGCTGCTTACTGTCCAAAATATTGTGGAAACTGCAGTGATTTTGAAGGGGGTGTGGCTATAGTTTCAGAAAATGTGTTTTGTTGTGTTTTTTTTCTTCTTACAGAAAACTAATAAGAAACTTGCTGCCTCAGGAGACCAAGTCAAGTGAATTTCTAAGAGGCTGGGCGCTGTTGTATAGCAATATTTCGAGTCTCATGCTTAGGGGAAATTGGCTGTAAGGATGAGGAAGCAGAGCTATGTATCTGCAGTGGTTTTGGCTGGATTTTGCATCCCATTGCTTTCCATTGAAGCATTAAATAGTGACTGCTGCTGGAGACAGGATATTAAACTTGGTACAATCACATGTGTGTTTTGTAGAGCTTTTGATTCTCAAGAAGTGAATGAGCTCCCTTATAAAACTTCTGTTCTAATCCTTGCAATTTAATAATATCATTAAAATGCTGTATAATGTATATGCAATTTCTAGTCTTGACTTACAAAGGCAAGTTTAAACCTGCTCATAAGTTCTTCCTGCTGTGCTTAGGAGCTGGCAGACAAGGTAAAATGCTTTATCAGCAAAGCAAAACAAATAACTAGAACTAAACTTTTGTTGCACTAGGAAGAAACCACTGTGTTCTTGCCACCTCACTTCATGAATTTCATATAGACAGGCTTCAGTGTTTGTGGAATTATGATTTGGAATTAGTCTTGCAGACTCTGTAAGCTGGTGAGTCCTGCTTTTTCTTTCTTTCCTTGTTATGACTTCATAACAAAGTTCTCTTCACACTGTCACTTTGTTTTTTTCCAGGAAAGAAGCTGGTGTTGGGGCTTGAAAGGAGGTGTAGAATACATAGGAGACATTGAAACTGCTTAGTATGAGGGCAAGTGTGAGCAGAGATAGCAGAGAACCTGCTGAAGTACTGTGCTTGCAGGGTCAGAGCACAGCAGCTGCATCCCTGAGACTGCCTCTGTACTAATTGAAAAGATAAGACAGACGCAGGCCAGGGACAGCATTCTCTGGCTTCTGCTGCCAGGTGGCAGGATACAGCTTGTGTCCACAATGGCTAAACTGTCAGGCTTCTGCCAAAACCCAGGTGCCCCATCCAGCCTGCCTGCTGGGAATGCTTCTGGCACTTGCTTCATCCTGCATAATCCAGGAGAGCAAGAAGTGGCCTGAGCCAAAGGCCTAAAATGTGCTAATTGTTAAACATTTTGGCCAGTTCTGGAATATCTGCTTTAACCTTGTCTTCTTTAGTAGCCATTTAGCCCAGCTTATGCAAGCTTCCTCAGAGATATATTTGAGTTTTAAACACAGAGCCATAGAAATGTTGGTTGGGAGTTCTGGAAGGTATCTAGTTCAGCTTCCTGGAAGGAACAGATTGTGACTGGTCCAGAATTAAGGAATCCTGAAGGTAGCTGAAGAGATTTTAATAGTTCTATCTCATGAGCAATGTAAATGAATTTTTTATTTTTCTTGTTTTCAGTGGGGCTGGGCAGAACCCTTTGTCAAGTCCTCAATGCTGGGTTCTGTATCCCTGACAAGTGCAGTGTGTCATCAATCCCAGACAAACTTTTTGCCTGGGTAAGTGTTAGGAGCATTTGTCTTTGGTGAATTTTTTATTTTTCTTGCTTTCAGTGGGGCTCGGCAAGTGCAGTGTGTCTTCAATCCCAGACAAACTTTTTGCCTGGGTAAGTGTTAGGAGCATTTGTCTTTGCAGTGCTGCAGGCAGGATAGTGGCGGCGCTGCGTCCTCTGGGCTTGATCCAGCTGTTCTTGATCTCTCCTCAGTTAGTTAATTACATGCAATATTTCTGCCTCTGCTGTGTCACGGTTTGGGGGGTACTCCCCAGTTTAGTGCTCCCACTGAAACTCTCCAAAGCATGCTGCCAATCATTCGCTCTCCCTCCCTCCTGCAGTGCTCTGGAGAGGAGAATAGGAGACACAAAAGGTGAAGATCGTGGGTTCAGATAAGAACAAATTACTGGAAATAGCAATGAGATAAGAAGAAGAACAGTAAGGGCAACAATATTCATGACAGAGAGTACAAGAAAATGAATGTTATTGCTCGCTGTGGAAACCCACAGTAGACAACACCAGCTCTCTCTGGTTTGGAATTGGAGCCATAAGGAACTTCTACTCCCCAGAAAAGACTTCCTTCCCCCTGCCCCCAGTAAATGTGAGGTGCTACAGAATAACCTTGGTGTCCTGGCCATGCCCCCACCAGGCTACTACAAAAAATTAACCCTGTCCTGGCTGGAACCAGGACATGCTGGTAAATTTCTGCTTGAAGACTTAGCTTTATAATATTCTTCTCAACCTCAGGAATATATTAGGCATTTCACTTCTTCATTGTGATATCACAGAATAATTTAGGTTGGAAAATACCTCAAAGATCGTTGAGTCCAACCATTAACTTGACCAGTCCACCACTAAACAATGTACCCAAGTGCCACATCTACATGTCTTTTAAATACATCCAGGAATGCTGACTTCTTTGGCCAGCCCATTCCCATGCTTGACCACCCTTGTGTTGAAGAAATCTTTCTCAATACCCAGTCTAAACCTCCCTGGCATAGCTTGAGGTCATTTCCTCTTCTCCTGTCACTTGTTACCTGGAAGAAGAGGCCACCCCCAGCTGGCTAAAAAGTCCTTTCAGGGAGTTTTAGAGAGTGATGTGGTCCTCCCCAAGTCTCCTTTTCTCCAGACTGAACAGTCCCAGCTCGCTCAGCTGCTCCTCATATGAGCCACTTTATAGACCTTCCCCAGCTTCATTGCCCTTCTTTGGACTCATGCCCAACTTTCTGTCATCTGCAAACTGGCTGAGGGGATGGACACTTGATCCCCTTGTCCAGATCACTGATAAAGATATTTAAACAGGACTGGCCTCAGCTGAGCCCTGGGAAACACCACTAGTGACCAGCCACCAACTGGATTTCATTCCATTCCCCAGCACTCTCTGGACCATCCAGCCAGCCAGTTTTACACCCATCCAAGATGTAAGCAGTCAGTTTCTCCATGAGGATGCTGTGGGAAACATTGTCGAAGGCTTTAGTGAAGTCCAGGCAGACAACATCCACAGCCTTTGCCTCTACCACAAGGCAGGTCACCTTGTAATAGGAGGAGATCAGCTTAGTCAAGGGTGACCTGCCTTTGATAAACCTGTGGTAGTTTGGAGATGAGAATGTTTGGGAGACAGTTGGTGTCTTTAATTGGTATGGGTAACTTCAGAAATCCAGATGTTTATTGAGCACAAATTCATATATGGTCTTTGTGCCTTCACTGTCTTTTATCTGTCGGTAATATTGGAATTATCAGATTAAATTCTTAAAGGGTGCTGTGAGCACTGGTTACATCACTTATATTTAGCATTGGGAACTATAGTGTTCAAGATGATTTCTTCTTAATTTCATCCCTGATTGTGAACTTCTCTTCCTCTTGTGGCAGCCAAAGGAGGGACCAGGTCCATCATTGTTTTCTTTGTTTGAAATTTCACAACATAACCTGGAAGAAGATAGGGATGCTGTTGACATAGTGGGAAAAATACTCCCTGAAAGCAATCTGTTACAGATTATTCTAATGAAATAATCACCTCCATACATGTCAAGTTAGTGTAGGACTTCAGATTTTTTTTCTTCTTTATGGCTTCACTCTCCTAATTATTCAAGTGTAATTTCATATTAAATGATTATTCAGGACTAGAAGTGGCAATTTACTGCTATTTTGAAATAAAAATTACTTTGGAGTTTATGATTGCATATTCTGCAGCTGGATGTTTCAGTGCCTCATTGCCTCTGTTCCTGTTACAGGTGCATGGTGACAGCATCGCAGCAATGAGTGGAATTTTAAAGAGGAAGTTTGAAGAAGTTGATGGCTCCTCACCTTGTTCCTCTGTGAGGGAATCTGATGATGACATTTCCAGCAGTGAAAGTGCTGACAGTGGTGATAGTGTCAATCCATCCACTTCTAATCATTTTACCCGTAAGTACTAACTCTCTGTAACCAAAAAATTATTCCTGTTTCTCAAAATAAGATAAATGTTGTGGTTAGATAAGCATGATGATTTTTAATTGAACAGATCATAAAACAGTCTCCATGATGTTCAGTTTATGACTTGCTCAAAAATACTTAGTAAAATACTCTTACATTCTTTTGACTTCTCGTCTGTTAGACTGTTGTAAAAGTTTGAAGTCTCTTGGAAGCTCCTACCTACTTGCTATTTGAATTATGTAGCTGTTTGTAGTTAATGTTAGGAGTTGTGTTCCAAATAGTTCAAACAGGTACTGTAGGGGAAGTGCTTTAGCTCAGTTTATTTTCCTTAGCTAAATGTATTGCAGCTGTCAGCTCTCTGTAATACAGTACTGGTGAGAGTTCTTCTCTAAAAACAATATAAGCTTTCTTTTATTTGGAACTGATGGATGTTGTGTAGACATTATTTCAATAGTTTCTATTTTTCAGGTACCAGAGGATATTTCTGTACTTTGCAATGGTTTTGTGTTCAAATAAGAATTTGGTCTTAAGTTAGCAAAGCTACATTTGCAGCATATATTTCTGGGAAGGATAAATTTACAGTTTATGTTTGCAGTTTATGATACTTGTTTTAGGTGGTTATATTATTTATTAATAGTGAACTGCATCTTCTAAAAAGTAGGGGTTTGCCTCCTTCAACTCTGTTGCATTTAGATCCTCCTCTATGGAGTTATTCCTTAAAACTGTGAGCCAAGGAGTAGGTGAGGCTCCTCATTGCTGCCCATACAGAGTGTGTTCCATGTAACTGAGTGGTGTGGATGTGCCTAGAAATCATGTTTGTAGCATATGCTATGAATGTTCTTATAACTGACTTTCCTTCCAGATGCTGCTGTTCAGTTTGAACAGGTGTTTGGATGCGAGGGTCTGAATCCTCTTTGCTCTGGTAGGGAATGTTCCTGTGCACAGGAGGGACAGGCACGACTTTTGAAAGGGGTTTACATGGAACACTCTTGAGGTGCTGTATGATATTTAAGATGCAGTACTAGTTGGGGACCTATTTTATTGAAGTGCCACAAAGGAGTAAGTGACCCAGTAAACCTCTTTGGTAGTATTTAGAAATCTAAATCTAGATTAGTATTTAGAAAATTGTCTTGGGGACAATATTATCTGCATGCTGGTACTTTAACATTTGCATCTGTTGAAGTTAGTTGATTATTCATCATAGACTGAAAACAGGCTTTATACATCAAACAGTCATTCCCACCCACACAGAAGACCACAATTTTATTGTGAATATGTGCACAGGTGATACAATGAAAGGGAACGATTCAGGGGACAAACTTGGAAGTTGTAGTATATGCATAGGCTTTAATTGTAGTTGACATAATAAACACTTTAGTTTAAAGGAACTTCCCTTTCTGTAAGAGAAACTACAGTATTTCAGTGTTATGATTAATGATTTATCTAGCTGAAATATTTGTGGCCAGAGTAATAAATGTTTATCTGTGTGTGCACTCACACACATACAGAAATTGTACCTATTGCATTTTTTAAAAAATACATTTGGATATATCCACTGGTGATATAGAAATAGAAAAAGTAGTCTATGTGTGCATTGATAGTATTTTTTAAAAAGTATTGTCTTTAATATAGATGCACTAGCCTAAATTCCAAGAAATCATACAGAACCCCTGTATTACTTAAGAGCTATTGCATGATACTCACCTGAAAATTACATGCACGTGTAATGTATACTAGCAAAACTGATAACAGTGTACATTGGAAGGTATTTTGTTCATGCTTTAAACTCATTCATCTTCCACACTAAAAGACAAGAGGTGAGCTTTTCTAAGTAGAATATTTGAATCTAAATGTAAGGTTGAGTTCTGTGAGACTTTTTCAGTGAGCAGACTGAAAAGAGCCAGTGCAGAAAAAAGGCTGTCGAGATTCCTTGCCTCTGTTACATGCCTGAATACCTTCTTGGTGGAGGTTATCTTCCTAAGCTATTTCCTGACATGTTATACCATTTTCTGTTCTGTTTAGTGGGACACTGTCAGATCCTGTGTACTGTCATTTTTCTGGTCTGTTTTCATACAGTCAAATACGAAGTTGACTATAAACTATCTTTTACTGACTGGAAAAGATGGGGAGAGGGTTGTGTGACCTATAGCCAACATCAAGATCTGTATATTAAATCTTAAACTGGGAATTTTAAAAAAGTGCTAACATGGTCCTCTAAGTCTTATTTTTTCTTTATAATTGACCTGACAAAGGGATAATTCTAAATTGCTTGTAACTACAATCTCTTCAGCACTTAGGAAGCAGGCATTTTGTATATAAATCCATCTAGCACAGCTGATGCATCTCTGTATTTACACAGCCCTTGAAACCATATGTATTGGGTCAGATAAACAGGAGCCTAGCAAGAATTCTGCTCAATTAGTCTTACAGTCAGTTTAACCTGCCAGCTAAATGAGGCAAGCAGCTGCTGTGGATCATTCAGGTGGGCAGAGCTACCAGAAGATAACTTTGTTCTCAGCAGTTAACCCTGTAGTGTGATGGCAAAAAACACGTGACTGAGATGGCCCTAAGTGCTATTGCTTGTGACTGTTACACAGGGATAAACACAGAGTTTCTTTAACAATATATCTATTTAAACAAATAAAGACAGCAACAAGAAGAAATTAATAAATCCCTCGCCTAGGTTGCAGGCGACTGAGTCAGTAAATAAAAATTACAGTCCATAAAGAATAGACAAATTTTACCATTAGCATTTTCTTTATAAGGTGTGTGTATTTTTACAGATGTGCACATTTTTAAGTCTCTTAGCAAATGGTGATGGAGTGCCTTCATTACTGCTGGCAGATATAATCCCTGTTGTGTATTTTACTTACCTTTCTCAGTCTATTGAAGCAATTTCAGTTTGATTCAGCAGATCATTAGTCATTGCAGAGTTACTTTAATGGATGCCAAAGTGTATTACTGGATAGTCCACATGCCTGTCCCATTTCACAGACCTGCCTTCATATCAGAAAGAAGGATGTTCATCTTCAAGTAGCAGTGCAAGCATGTATGTACAGCATTAGTCAGGACTTAAGCATACACGGAATGCAGGGCTGGAGCGCTCAAAATGCCATTGGAGCTCCTTTCAGTTGCCCTGTTCAGTTCTGGCACCCCATTGCTGTGTATCATCTGCTCCACAGCAAGCTAAAAAACCTGAAATTGCTGTTGAGGATGTCAGTACAACACCCTGACCATTCCTATATTGTGTGCACTGAGGAACATGGAGTTCCGCGTTGCAGCTTAGCTCTGGGGGGATATGTGCCCTTCCAGGGAAGGATAACGAAGCTCGTGAAGGGTCTGGGACATAAATCCTATGAGGAGAAGCAGAGGGAGCTGTGGGTGTTCAGTGGAGAAAAGGAGGCTCAGGGGAGATCTTATTGCTCTCTACAATTCCAGAAAAGGCTGTGGCAAGGTGGGGGGTCTCTTCTCACAGACAAGGGGAAATGACCTCAAAGTATGCCAGGAGAGGTTTAGGTTGGATATTAGGAAAAGTTGCTTCGCTGGAGGAGAAGTTAAGCATTGGAATAGGCTCCCCAGTGAAGTGGAGAAATCGCCATCCCTGGAAGGTATTCAGAAAACAAGTAGACATGGCACTTCATGATACAGTTTAAGGGTCATGGTGGTATTCAGTCAAAAATTATTTGATGATCTTGGAGGGCTTTTCCAACATTAATAATTTGATGATTCTGTGATTCTCCCTGCTTTGGTGAGGTACCTGCTTCTAAATGCTTCTTGGGTTTTTTTTTCTGATATAGAGAAATATGCAAATTGAACTTATAGAATGGTGTGCAATTGAAAGACCCATGGGGACCTTGTGAAGTCCTGTGAAGTTGCTGGTATTAACTCCCTATAGCACATTAATCACAGATGCATATCTTAAGAAACACAAGGAGCTGCTGCTTTCCTCTGCCATTTCAACTTCAGTGTCCTGTAGCTGAAACTTCTCTTCCTCGCCTGCAGAGTCACTTGGGATGGCCAGCAGCAGCTTATCTGATAAGGTGATTATCACCAGCAGGAGGTGGTGCCATCACGCAGTCTCGTTGATATCCTCCATCACTTATCTCTCTGTTGCCGTTAACATTATCGCTGTCATGAGCAAGGTTATCCTGCGGCCATAATCACAGGTCCCCCCATTCCGCTAATTAGGGTACTGTCTTTAGAGTGCTTTGGGATGTACTTTGATTCATTAGGAATGGGCAGGTCACTGAGGGCTCTGAGAAAACCCTTTGGTCTCTAAGTGCTCTTGCCATCCTTTGATTTTGCTATTAAAGATGATGAGGAATTTCAAAACACAAAGACATCCCTGTTGCAGTTCCTTCAATATGCCCTGTAAAGTACTGTTTGAATTTTGTAGAGCTGCGAACTTACTGAGATTGCCTTATCTATGTGGCCATGCATAATGTGAAAGAAGGTGTGAAATCTTTAGGAAGGTGTAGCTTCTTCTGAATTATCTTCATAGAGGGATAAAATTTTATTTGGTGTAAGGTCAATAGCACAGGGTACAACCTGAGCTTTGAACTTAAGCTGCATGTTTAATTGCTGGTTAATGATAGAAACTTCAACTCTAAATGAGTCAGAAGTGGTGGTGCTGCTTTACTATGGGAAAACAGCTGCAACTGAATGCAGGCATTCCTTTTTTTTCATGGCATCTTGCAGTTATTTATGTTGCCAGCAACCAGGCTTGGAATTTCCTTGTTAATGAGGAGTATGTTATTATTCTGTTTGTTGACTCATGTTATGAAATGCTAACAGGTTGAGGGATTCTTGTATTTGATTTTAAAATAAGTCAGCTCATCTGAGCATTAAAAAGCAAGAAATGCAAATAAATTCAGCGAAATGTAGTGCAATGTCTTAGCTCAAACTCACACAGAATGACAGGACGGGGTATATACCATGACAGCATCTCTTCATCTGGAATAAGGAATACTGTGGTGACAATTGTTAAAAAT